GGGTCAGTTCCGGGTTCGACTCGAACCCGACCCGTGACCCGAAATTGACACCCCTAATTATATGCTTATTTTGGCGTTTTGCTATTCACTTTGCATCACTATATGATCTGTTTATCAAATCCTTCGGCATCGGGTTGACCCGCGACCCATTTTTAACCCGAAAATGATCTCGTTATTATCTTCTTTTCTTATTTTTTTCTCTTGTGGGTATAATCTTCTTACTTTTTATCAAATATCTTAAACTTTATAGTTAATGAGTTATTAAAGAAGTAAAACCAAAACGGGTTAACAGGTCAGGTTCTGGCCATTTGGGTTGCTAGCGAGTTGAGTTTGGGTTGGTGTTTTTGATCAATTTATTGAATGGGTTGGATTTAGGTTGACTGTTTTCAGGTTGGGTTAAGTTCAGGTCGAATAAAAACCTGACACATCAACCCGATTTGACACTCCTATATGTTGTGCTTTGTATATGGCTATGTTCAGGGGCATGATTCTTATAATTAAGCGGACAACTATGACCCAAAAAAATGAATTCAAAATTTTTTAGGGTTTGCCATGTCGTTAAAGTTGTCAATATGATATTACAAAAATAAAAAAATCATACTATAATCATCGCATAATGCATAAACTGAAGGAATTTTATAAAGGAGAACCTTAATAGATGTAATTAATAGGAGCATCGAATCTTGAAAATTTTAAAATGAGCAAATGTGCCAAATAGTATGACGCATTTAGAATACATCAAATCGTGTGGTGAATTCAACTCACTTTGAGAGGGTGAATTATTACGTCCGGTCACCAAACGAAAAATGGCATTTAAATAATATTATATAAAAATAATACTTAAAAATAATATTATATAAGAGAGGCGATGATCCAACCAACGGTCTGGATATTCCCATTGCTTCTATAAAACGGATTCGACCAGCCGATTGACAAAACCCTCCCGGACGAGAAGGTAGGGTTTTTGGCCCAGAGGTGGTGGAGAGAGTGGAGGCGACCGGAAGGTGAGAGAATCGGAACCCTAATCTTTATCAATATCTCGTCTCTCTTTCCATTTCCTCATTCGATCTTCATTGTTTTTTGGGGCGAATTTCTGCCTAGTGATTGAACTTCCATGGCTGTTGAAATTTGTGATTCTTTGTGCTAGTTTTTTGATCTTTTTCCTTTTTTGTTCCATGCGAACTCTTTATTGCCTGCCTTATTTGCTGTGTGGTTAAACTTTTGTTTTCTCATGGTAGCTTATCTGCTTGCGTATGTGTCAAAATTACCTGGTTGGATTATTTTTATTAGTTTGATTATTCGTTTGTCCTCTCGGTATGGTTTTGCATCGATTCCATGAGATCTTTTTTCTAAATATTCGTAGTGGTTTTAGGTTATTTAATGTAGGATTGTAAGTTTTTTATGTGTAATGTTAATATTCTGTTATCTGCATTTTGAATTTTTGATGCGGTTTTTGTTGGAAGATTTGATCCATGGCTTTTGCCAATAAAATCGGAAGTCTTCTCAAGCATGTTGTGTCCTCCAAGCCTTCTATATATCAGGCAGTACGGTTGATGTCTTCATCGAAACTCTTTGTTGGAGGTTTGTTGTGTTGCCTTGATTTCTATTTATTTATTCATTCCGATTTCTTTTTTCTAAAATCACTAACTGCTCTATTACTTCTATTGCAATCATGTAGGGCTATCTTACAGCACGGATGATCAGAGTTTAAGGGAAGTATTCTCGGGCTATGGTGAAGTTCTTGAGGGTATGATTTCTTAATTTGCTGTCATTTGCATTGTGACATCCTTCGTGCTTTTTAATAACCAATTCAGATATCCTTCTTTTTCAGCTAGGGTTATCATTGATCGGGAAACTGGGAGGTCAAGGGGTTTTGGTTTTATAACCTTTTCATCTGGCGAAGAGGCTTCTGCTGCAGTAACTGCCATGGATGGGAAGGTATTGTGATTTTTATCTTTAGTAGATATGCTGTATTAGTGGTCTTTCCTTGATATCCTGCTCAGTTAGCTTGGATAGAGTAGTGTGGATTTAACATCTGTTATTCTGTTGATTATTATGAAAGATTTTTTTATATATATATCATTAGTTTGATTAGCAATTTAATCTGATTAATTTACAAAAAAAATGATTTTATAGTAAATCTTCATACCATGATATTAAATTATTGTAATTTTTTAATGCTATATTTTGTTACTATGTCATATAGCCTCATTGCATGATTCGAAATGTTGACAGCAAAATAACTCCAATTATTTGTCATTCTCTTTGTTTTCAAAACTCTTATGAAAATATTTATAATCCAAATAATATCCTCCGTAAATTTTCAAATCTCAATGGATATGTCATCATGGCCTAATGACTTTTCTTTATTCATCTTTTTAGATCTAAAATTTATATAACAATCCACTTAATGAAATTAACCATTTTGTCTCACATTAAGTTTGAGTCAATTAAAGAATTCTAGTTTGCCTTTCTGATCAACCCATCTTGAGAGATTAACAATTTCTTGCCTTCTAAATTCCACCCATTATTCTATTGCTATAATTTTTTTGGATAAATTTCTTTATATCCACAATAGCTATCTCATGTTGTGTTGTCTAACTTCCTCGGATTACCTTATCATCTTTGTAAGAAGGTTTCTCTTTCCAAATAAGAGCATAGGGACTCCACTTTTTTTAAAATAAATAAATAATTTTCTCTTTTTTTAAGCATGTGTTTATTTTAATAAGATCATATGCTACTATAAAATTAAGTATAGCTTCTTCCATTACAATTTCATTTCTTAGTCCATATCTTCCATAAATCCTTCATAACCCACTGTACCAGAATCTATTCTTCTTTATAGATATGTTGTGGGTAGGTCAACCACATTTTTTCAAATTTTTTATTTTAATCTAACCAATCTTCCACTTGAATTTGAGCAGCCTAAGCAATTTGTTTTTGTCCATAATCATCTTAATAACAATCAACGTATCACCAACTGGTTCAACTCTATAAACTTCCAAAATTCTATTATCCTTTATGAGTGAGTCCAACCTCATTGTTATTGTTTATATTTCTGCATACAGTAACCTATAACCTTCCTCAATATTCTTCTCATTTAGTCTCTTGCATTTCTTGTAAATGAGTTATATTTATTCTTCTTTTTATAATTTTCACCATTTCTTCTCTCATCTCCACTTCCAAAGTTCACAAATTTCACATTACAAGTTTAATCTTTTAGATTTATACCTTTTTAATTCTTGATTTTCACCACAATTGAGTTAACTTGTGTTATTTTTTGGGAGTTTTAGGCTCTCTCTCTCTCATATTCAGAAGTTTTGGGATACATTATGATATTTTTTTTGGGCAAGATATTTTGATATATGTATATTGTGAGGAAGCCTTTGGAATTCACGTAAACCTCATGTTTTGATATTGCACAGGATCTCCATGGACGCATGGTGAGGGTTAATTATGCTACTGATCGCCGATCTGGCTTTGGCGGCGGCGGCTATGGAGGTGGCGGCTATGGTGGTGGAGGTTATGGCGGTGGTGGTTATGGTGGCGGTGGCGCCGGCTTCGGCGGTGGTGATGGTGCCGGTTATGGTGGAGGTGGTGGCTATGGTGGTGGTGGAAATTATGACAGTGGAGGCTACGGCGGTGGTGATGGTGCTGGTTATGGTGGAGGCGGTGGCTATGGTGGTGCGAGCGGTGGTGGCAATTATGTGGCTGGAGGAGTCGGTGGGAGTGAAAGCTATGCAAGTGGAGCCTTGGGACAAAACCAGGGAAGCAGTTCCGGCGGCTTTGGTGGCGGTTCTGAGCAATTCAATTTCAACCTGAACAAAATCAATCAGTATGGCAGCACTGAAGAAAATCTGGATCATAATACCTTGAAGGATGATTTTGATTTGCCTGATGATTATGCAAATAAGAGAGCTTAAGAGGGTAATTATAAAATCTCATTTGTCAATTTGGATACAGTTTGAGAAAACTAGACCTAATTGTGTTTTTTTTTGGATTTGTGATAATTTGAAAGCATGTATTTATTTATTTTATGAACACATCTGTGATTTGTAGTTTAGTAGTTTGGAACTGCTTTTTTACTGCTTTTTGAAGCACAAATGAAGCCTTATTGTCTTTTATTATTTGTTCCCCCATATTTTAAATTTGCCTATAAATTAATCTCTAGCCTTCCATTTTTTTTTTTTTTTTTTTTGGGAATTTTATCCTATATTTGGATCTAAACATCCTACTTAAAATTTAGCTATGATCTCAGGTTTGGATTATACAGCTGAATTGAGTATGAATTGAATGAGACTTCACAGCAATGCATTATTTGCAGCAAAGAATAAGATTATATTTTTTTTTCGGACGAGGAATCTATCCGTTGTTACTCTAAAGAAAATGTTTGGCAGCGGCATAATTAATTTCTCAATCTTTGCGGAATTTAGCAAGGCCACTCACTGGCATTGGGCCCACATTTGCTTTTGCCCCACTGAAGAGGTGAGATCATAATATAGGGGATACGAATCCGGGATGAGAGATTTTCAACTTGCTTTGCACATTTTTTGAAATGTGGGAATTTATCGGCTGCCACTCCGAAGGAAGTATTTGACGGCATAATTAATCCCTCGGTCTTGGTGGAATCTAATGAGGCCACCCATTAGCAGCAGACTCACACCTACTTTGCCCCACTAAAGAGATGAAGCTGTAATAGAGGAGATACGAATCCGAGAAGAAGGATTTTCAACCTTGTTCGTTCACCAACCACCCTAAATTGTGGGTAATAAGATTATACTTAATGATTGAATTTGATCATTTAGGAATTTAAAGGGAAGTTTGAAATTGTCATAATTTTTTATAAAGGTAATTGTAAATTTATTGTTAAGAATAATTTTTTTAAAATGTTGTAGCAAAAAGTATTTTTTAGCATAAAAATAATTTAAAAGAAATAAAAAATAATGACTAAATAAAAATTATAATTTCAGCTTAAAAGTGAAACTTAAAATACAGCTTACTTAGCATAATATGAATATTTCATAGTTTCTTAATATTTTTTTGGCAATAAGCCACTAGTCCAGCAATAACTAAGGTGCGTAATTTGACAGCCAATTTGGGCCAAATAGAAAGAAAAGATAACTTAAATTATCTTTAAATGCAACGTCTATATGTTATACCCTCCTTTAGAGCAATTAAAACATTCATAAATCCATCAAAAAAAGCATCCTTTGTGCATTTAACCAAGCAGGTGATCCCTGTTTGGTTTTCTCCACTATTTTCTGTATCAAATCCTTCCCCTCATCAAAACCATCATCATCATCATCATCTTCTTCTTCTTCTTCTTCTGTACCTGAAATTTCATATGAACCTCCTCCCCACACTATCTGCTCCCAAGCCTTTTCCTTATTATCTATAGTACTAATGGAGGAGGGCAATTTCTCATCTTCAGTCTCAGCTAACCTGATGAACTCTTCATAAGCTTCATCATAGGCATTTAATGCATCTCCGGCTAAATCCGATCGCAAGCTCGATTCATTTTGCTTCGAAGATTCTAGACTATCTTGATTTGAGGATTCCGTGTCGCTGCTTGAAAATGGCGGTTTCGAACTCGACCTCTCGGCTTCAATAACCTTGAGCTTCATTTGGCTTTGCTCGAGCGCGCTCTCGAGTTCATTGATCCTTTCCTCGAGCCTGCTTTCTATCACTCTGTGAAGTCGGAGAGTCAGTTCCTTGGGAGATACAGAGTAATTTGAATTGTACGGTTGCGCCGTGCCGCCAGTGCCTGCATCTTTGTAGTCTTCTTCGTCCGTCGAGTATTCTCTACCTCCATTGATGAGAAGATCTTCTCTCAATTCACCTTGAACAACATCTGCTATGAGTTCTGAATCAAGCTGCAACCAGGAATGCCAAATATTAAGCTATAATAAATATGTGCAGCAGCAGTTCTATCACATATTGGTCATGTACAGAAGAATAAGATATATTAATTAGATGAAAGATTGATGTTGAAGGAATGTGATAGGAAATAATTGAGTTCACAAGTAACCCTAAGGGAAATACTTGATTTCAGAGAGAAATCAGCAAGACGAAGCAAAAATTTCAGAAAAACTCGAAAGAAAACTCAAGGAAACTTCTTCTATTCAATTCACGAACAAGAAAACAATACAAGATACAAGTTTCTTCAATTCAAGAGGAAGAAACAACTCTCCAAATCTCTATCAAAGCCTAGAGCCAAAAGAATAAACCTTATATCTCAAATCTCTCCTCCAATTCAAGATGATCCCAAACCCTAACAATACAAGACTAATTAAAGCAAAGGATAAAAGTTAAATTTCTAAACAACCCCTAATTTGAACTTTTCCTTCAATACAATATTTAATTAGTGTGTAGGCCCTCTCTCTCTCTCTCCCCCCCTCTCTTGCCCTTCCGCCTGTAGACAAGAACTGATCCACTAGGGACTGGTTCAGCTGGTTCAACCGGTCTAACTGAATGCTACATAAATGTCCTTTCGGTATTTCTAACAGTGATGAATGTAAAGGTTTGAACTTTACTAAAATATCATCAATATATCTTTTCTACTAGTGGTAGTAGAAAAGATTGAGATTATGAAGAAATTTATCAGCTTAGAGCTGCTGCACTCAAAAAGAGTAATTTTGCAGCATTGCCTCGACAGCAAAAGAGCCATTTCATGGCACAAAGAATTGTTGTTGCCACCGGGTTTTGGTCGAAGAACTCATAGCCAGAAAGCCGAACGAATTCATCCTTGTTGATCTAGGCAGTGCACCGATATGGCACTGATGAAAAATAAACAGAACAAAGATGTCACAAGTCACAACACAGGCGATTCACATTGCAGGGTTGTTCCAACCATCTAGGATCTGAACTCATAAAGCCTAATTGACAGGTTGCTTGTATTCTTATAGGTTTCTTGCTCCAAATGAATTGAAGGTCAGATCACTAGGAGTAAAGTGTTCTTTGCTGGTCATGATTTGAAGACGCTGAATCAGGGAAAAACTAATATAAGCTTGAAGATATACTAGCACAAAGTTTGAAAACTGATTTCGGCTTCGTTTGAGACAGCTTTTTTACCACTTTTTAAAGTTGCTTTTTAGTAAAAAAAGTTTATAATTTTTGAACTAAAAATCTGCTGTAAGAAGCAGTAAAAAAGCTCTCCCAAACGAAGCCTTCATAAGCAACCGTACCTCACCATTATAAGAAACAAATAATTTTGATCGCTACATAGTTCAACAAGGAGACCTTGTTAAACAATCAAAATGCTTTCCACAGGTAAAACAAACAAAAAATTTAGCTATTAAAGAAGAATAGGGAGATAAGAAAACCATAATCAAATGGGTCGATAAGACCAGCACAATCCAGAAACCTAAAATAAGTAGGCTCCAGGAGTTCCTCAACATTTCATAAATGGGGATTCTTATATTGAATTACCATTCCATGACAAACGTGAATTTAGAGGTTATAGCAGTGAAGAAAACCGAAACATTTCTTCAATTCATCACCCTTGTCTACATGCATCAAACTAACGTTTTCCAGGTTGCGAGGTATCTAAAAGAGTTGCGCGAAGAAGATTCATGTCCATGGATAGCTTGAAGCCAGTCGACCATATTTGCCAAACTTGAAAATCAACAAATTTGAAGTCAACCCCAAACTAGAACTTGTCAAGTCACCCAAAGAGACGAACCTATTCAATCCTCATTACTCGGAATACTCAAGTCACCAAAAGGACTCACGAAATCGCCTACTCGTCAAAACTACTCGCCCACAAAACTCGGTTAATCTTCCAAATTACTAGCCTGCCAACTCTTAAGTTCTCGCTAGAAAAATTTGTCAAGGGAATCAATCTGAAAGTAGCCCAAGGTTCCCGATTAACAGACCTCTGATAGCAGTTAGTTGCGCTTAGCCCTGCTAATTAGAGTAGGCTTTTGCTTTTCTGCAAGTTATTTCAGATTTGTAAACAAAAGGGGTGTATCAAGTTATTTGATGCTCCAACATTTTGGCATTTCCTCTAATGATGGAAATAATACCTGTTTTATAGACATGGCTGTCTTTTTAACTTGATGAAAATTGAATATGCTCTTTGGTTGAATTTATATAAATTCAATGATTAGTATGGCCATGAAAAATAGTTTCTTAATCAATATTACTTAAAGAATCTAATTATTTTATGCCATTAGGATACTAATTTTACATTAATTGAAAATTACATCTCTCAAGAGCTATGTAATTGTTCAGTTACAGTTTGTGTTTTAAATTCCTTTTGCTCCTTTGCTTGATGATCTTTTGCAGGAAAGTCTATCTCAATCGTCTAGTTGTGTTTGGATAGTAGAAAATATGGGTGAAAGAAACCACAACAATAACAACAACAAGCTTTTATCCCACTAAAATGTGGGGCCAGCTACATGAATCCTTTTTCTCCATTGTGTCATGTTAAAGATCAAATTCTCATCTAAATCTCTTACAGAAAGATCGTTTTTAATATTTTCTAACCAAGCCTTTTTAGGTCCACCTCTACCTTTATGAACATAAGTCAAATCTAATACATCTACTTTACTAACCGGGTCATCAGAAGGCAGCCGTTTAAAAAAATTTTGAACAAAGTTTAAATCAATATTTGTGAATTCATAGTTGACACATACATTGTTGAAATATACATTATTTTGATTCCTACCCTTTCCTTCAATCTGAATAAAGCTTTGATGTTCTAATGGATAAACAGTTGCCCTCCCTTGATGATATCCTTGTAAGTTGATAGTAGAAAGGTGACAAGCGGTACGGTTATAAGTTGGATCCATCATTTTGAGCATATCAAATCTAAAACTAGTACGAAGTTCCCACTCACTGGACATCTACATGATCTCCTTGAGATCATAGCTCAACAACCTCTCCTCTCCACCTTCAACGACTAAGCCACAACTGCTGATTCTCCAGCTCCTGATGATGATGAGACCCCTCTCTCTCGTCGATCCACAAAGCATCAGGCAGAACCTACAAATACTTTTTTGGTGGAGATCGTGTAGGCTCAAACTATATCAAAATTCAATATGTAAGAGCTATACTCCTACAGTAGAAGGTTAGATCTGACCGAAAGCATTGCTCTATTCAATCCACTAACCCTCTTTTAACTATAAGGCAACGCTATAGTGGTTCTTGCACCTTCATATGGGAAGCATCACTTTCTTTGCCGACTTCAAGCTACAATTTGTCAACACACAAAAGCCATCGAATAATTCTTAGTCTCCATATACGATTTGCGATCGATTCACACATGCTCGACGAGAATGACAATCAACATATATGATGATGCATGAAAAGTGTGAAGTGCCTCAACGTTGTACAAAATCACTCAAACGTTGTCCATTTGCAAAATAGACTGTCTTGACACGATTAGAGCACCAAAATTATAAAAAAAAATGCCCTTCAAACTCAAATTGATCGAATGTAGTTGAAAATGAAAAACTATGGGCGCAATGTCCATGAAATTGCCCGAACATCTTCTATTCAAGATCAGACAATCATTAGGTCCAAAACGTTGAAATTATCAAGAAAAATCTCCTACATTCAATTCAGGCAATTATGGTCAAAAATTATAAATTACAAGCTCAAAGTTATGCAAAATCGCCCCAATGTCTTGTGTTCGCAAAGCAAACTAAGCCATCACGACAAAACGTCAAAATTACTAGGAAAGGACACCCATATTAGACTCCTGTACAAGAGAAACGACAAAAAATCCACCTGTGCACATAATGAGAATGAATTCTATGGGCAAATTAAAATAATCTATTTATTTTTTTATTAAATTTTAGAATTTTAATTGAAAATTAATATTAATAATATATTATTTTATTATTATTTTAAAATTTATAAAAAGTTGAAAATTGAAATCTTTGGGTACAACATACAAAGTGCTTTTTCAATTACAAAAATTAAAATAATAATAATAATACCTAAAACCTAAACCTACATAGCAACACTCCCCAACCAACCACCATGTACCCCTCAAGCAGAAACAAACTCCCCTCTCTCAACTCCTTGGCCACACGAAGCCCCACACACGCTCGCCACCAACCATCTTAGCTGCTGCTCTGCCAGATTGTCATCGAACCCACACCAGCTCGCCTCTATTCCCACTCGAACACAACCAAGTTCCCACCAACCTCCCTGCCACCGAGCAGGCTGCCACACCTTAAGCCACCGCTCTCTTCCTCTACCCCTCTCCCTCGATTCCTCCTCACGTAGAAGACTCGTCTCTGGCCTTTGCGCTTTAGCTGGCGGCTAGCCTCATCTTCACCACTTCTCCCTAGCTCTTTCTTTCTCTCTAAACAAGTAAGGAAAAGTCTCAGTCACTCAATATCCCTCAACCCACTCTCTCTCTCTCTCTCTGCCATTCAATCTCTCTAAACAGTGTGATAAAAACTTATTCTCTTTGTAAATAGAAAGCACTCTCTATTTTATTTCTCTTTAAACAAAGAGAGAAAAGTTATTTCTCTCATTGCCTCTCTCTCTCCTTCAAAGTAGTGAGAGAACCCTTTGAGTCCCTCTTTCTCTCTACAAAAAAATTCATAAAAATTAAAGTACTAAAAAAATCTGTGTTGCGTTCACTTGCAAGTTTGCTGTCACTTATGATCTCGTCAATGCTTCCATGCGTGCATGTATAAAATGCAACTAATAAAAATGGAGTGTTGAACTTTGATATCTAACATAAAAGAAGACCCGAGATGTTAAACTCGTCGCTCCCCTTTGTCAATGGAAAAATGTTAACCTTCCTTGGAGCACTGTCTAGACGAACTTCAAGTGCCATAGTTATAGAGCTTGTTCAAACGACAACAACCAATACTTCTCTTGAGAGCTTCTCAGTAGCAGCCTACTCAGGCCTAGAGGCTTCCTCAACAAGCACCTCGATTGGACGGTCCTACACTTGACCGCCTTCTATTTCTTCCAATGGTTCAACCTTCACGTTCATCGCTAGTGGCTTCACTACAGACATGGATGCCTTAACAGCCATTGCAGCTGCACTAATCGTTGCCTGTAATCTCCTCCTAAGCTCTCTAGATAAAATAAAGCTAGAGAGACAATTGTACTTATCATGCAAGAACACGAAGAGTAAAGAACTGAAAATCAAAGAACCATAAATAAAGAACAAGCAATGAAAAAGGTTAAACTAAAGATACCATGCATTTAACAATTTAGGCATTGACGCACCCGCCATTTGTCAAATAGCCAAACAGGCGAACAACTTATAAATTAAATGTTCCAAATCACCTAGATCGATTTGGATTCCTTGGATTCAATCTCCTATTCTTCTTAGCTTCTCCGAAGAAACATAAGAACTAGGAAATATATGCTCATATTCATATTAGTTAGGTCATGAACCAGCCTAAAACTTTTAAAAAAGTCACCCAATACTTACGCCATATTGAACTAAACTCATCAAGTCACCAATAAGACAGATCATTCAGTCCTTAGTACTAGAATATTTAGCTCACCTAAAGAACTCACAAAATCGAATACTCATTGAAGCTACTTGACTACTCATTTAAAGTACTAGTCTACTAGCACGAGCTTCGAAAACTTGGTAAGGATCCAGTACAACATCTACTTTCAATTACTCCCACAAAAAGGTGTCTAACTACATCTAAAAAGATAATACTTTAATTTCTTTCCAAGCAAAAAGAGGTTCTAGTAGTTTGTTCAAGCTTTAATTAGGAGGACGGAAGCTTGGTGGAGGGTCAGAATCAACAAGCATTATGTTTTCATTATCCTTGATTAGAACATTCTCCAACTTTCAATATCAATAAGTGATCCCTACTCTATGAAGACACTCCAATGCAAGCACCGCTTTTTCCACATAGAGCCTTTAAATTAGAAATTCATGAATAAAGCAAGAAAAACTCTAATAATCACCAAATAATTTTAGTTGAAAATGAATGAAAGATGCAAGAGGGGAACAAAGAGTGATGATGAGTGAGTGGCAATGTCGTGCTCAAAATCAGAGGTGAAGCATCAAGGATGTGAGGTTGCATCTACGAGGACATCGAGCACAAGCAAGAAGCAAGAACATGGGCAGGAAATTGATAAGCAACACTTGTATGAGATGAAGATAGCAAAACAAAATGCAACTAATTTGGCCGCATTAGAAATAAAAAAAATTTATGATTTTATTTCAAATATGTCAAATTTTTACTTTGTACACATTTATCTCCATACAAACATTTCAATTTAAACACACAATACTCCTAATAAAATAACCCCTAAGAAAATATCTAAGCATTAGTCTCTCTATTATGTTTTTACTCGCTTGGGCCTTGATCTATATCTGCAGTGGAGTTTTTATACTTTTCACAAATAATGTTGGATCAAATAAAGTCTTTACAACTTTGGAGTCATAACTGGCATATCAAATGCAAACCATAATAAGCAAAACCAAGCAGAGTTTAGTAGACATCCTCTCTCTCTGTGAATTACAAGGAAACATTGAGAACTCATGTTGGTCCTCAATACCACACACAATAAATTTTAGATACCAAAACATTCAAAAATAGATGTCATATTGGATTCACAAAATTGAATATAAATGATTTAATTCTGAAATGTAAACTATCAGAAAATAAAGAGTACATGCAGAGAGTAACATGTGTTATATCGAGCATGTTGCAAATATGTTTGGTTTGGAACTTGCAAGTCAAGGACAGTATAATGAAGGCATAACACCACTTGACCTTAGAGAAAATTATCAACTAATTTCTAACACAACTTCAATATGATTACCTTTAGTATAATTATATCCACCTGGTAAACTATCATTTTCTCTACATATCTAGCCTACACCTAAACATGATCATCCTATGCCTATCATGATCACTTCATTGGTTTTGTTTGGAGTTTTTTAGGGAGATTGATGGTTATGGTGAAAATGATAACATTAAGATGAATGTAAGTAAAACCATGCAAGCAAGCATAAATTGGAGAGATGTTAAGAGTATCATTTAATAAATATAAAAAAAGTTGAAAATAAAGCTAGGTAGTTTGGGAATGTAATCTGGAAGTTAGCAGATGGAATAATATAGATAGAGTTAGTGGTAAAGGATTTAAAAGCTTGAAACTAGTTCCCCACCATATCATGCCCAAGCTTCAAAGCTTGAAACTAGTTCTCCACCATATGTTGTTCTCCAAGGTAACTAAGTTGATAATGCATGAACCTTAAAGTCTTATAGATATCTCATAGGACATGGAGTCAGCATTTTTGAGCAAAAGAATCATTCTTGTTATCAAGCAAGCCTAAATTTGAGAAAAAAAAGGGTATGCAATATGTTAGACCTGACTGCCGGTCCATAATGGACCAGTTCAGCCGGCCCTAGGCAAGGGGCTAGCCCTGGTTTACTCAAGGCAGACCAAGGGTTTGTCCAAGCTATAGTCGGCCCCCTCTAAGGGGCCAACTATTTGAAATTTGAGGAAAATGAGGGGGCAACTAGGAAGGAATTAAGATTTCAGGGGCTGTTTTGTTCTTTTGATGTATTATTTTATTTGCTTTAAGTAGAAGGGGGGATTAGGGTTAGTGTGACCTTGCCTTTGCTGATTTTGGTTCTTGCTTGGTGCTCTTGGGCTCTAGTGGCTTCTAGAGAGTTCAGAGATATAGATACTCCTCTCGAATTGAGGATCAACTGTAGCTTGGTGTTTTCCTTTCGTTTCTCATCAATTCTCACATCATTTTGCTGTTTTTCTCTTGGACTTGTTGCAGTTTTATGATGAAATATTGCTGAAATACTAAAATTGAGAAGTTCCACTTGAGTTCTACAAGTGTTTACTATCACAATACACACTATATGTAGCAATCACAAAAATAATACATAATCAAGAACCAATAAAACCATACATGAACAAATAAAAGCCCTGAAGTCTTTATGACATCTCCTAGGACATGGAGTTAGCATCTTTGAGCAAAAGAACCATTATTGTTTAGTAAGCCTAAATTTAAGGAAAAATGGAATGCAATATACATTATATTTGGTAACCACAGAAGCAACACACAATCAACAACCATAAAAAAACTTGCATGACGACTCAAGACCATCTATAAGTTTAATTTTTATAGATGAGGAGTACCTCAATGAAAGCAGATGTCGTTTGCCCTATACTAGCGGCATTGATGTTTTGCTCCAATCTTTCAAGCTCAGCTTCAAGCTCGGCCTCTATTTCACTAAATGACTCTGCATTCTCCCCAACCTTAGCCATGCACTCATCCATCTTCAGATCGGTAGCATGCCATTTTGAGTTTTGGTTTTGCAAAGCATCCAAGGATTTCTCAAGATTATAATTTTCAAGTTCTTTGTTTCCATCGGTTTCATTACCAAGTTCCTTCACAATGAATGAATCTTTCATCTCAAGTTCTTCATGTAAATCTTGAACAAGGTTTTTATTGTCTTTCAACAGCTTCTTTAACTTCTCTACTTCACATTTATTTGAGAGACCAGAAGATGTAACACCTATAACGAGCCCAAGAAGGAAAAGTAGCTTTCCATCATATGAACCTGCAGGAGAATGCTATTAGAAAATTAGCTAACGTACAAACAGATTGCGAGTCTTGGAAATAAAATTGGCATGATAGATAGTTAACAAATATAGTTTTTGAGTTTAATAAAAAAATATGAGAATTTTTTGTACTTTGACCTTGTAAATAAAATGTGAGTTGCACAAGAGATCTTGTCTTCATGTAGTTAAAAATTAAAATCTAGGTAAACAATGTCAAGATGGAAAATGCTGATTTTGTTTCCTTTCTTCAGTCAAAGAGAACTAAAACATAGTTACAACATAGTCACGCAATTTAAGATATTAACTTAAAAGGCAATGTTTAACATTATCCAATAAGCATAAAACAATAAAAGAAGATATAAAGGGTACCACAAGGATCAGTCTAGTTTAAGATGGGAAAATAACTTAGATTTCTCGTAGAATTTCAAATTGCCTTTCTATTGTGTAAATTAGCTTAGAGCATTCTTTACACGCAAATTCCTCAACCAAAGGAATTGAATCTAGCAGCAGATTTTCAAATGAATATTGAAGAGAAAAATGAGCCGCAAGGCTCGTGCACCTATTTAAGTTGTCAACACAATACCACAAACCATTTTCAACTTAAGCCTCAAGGCACACAAGCATGATATCACGATAACCACAAACTATTTTCAACTTAAACAACACAAGCTTGTTATCAATGTTTCATTATATGCTTCAGCATCCCCACTACATTAGTAGACTTTATCATTCAGCAGGGCAAGTTTTAACCGGCAAGGACTTTTTATGTTGGCATTGGGCGGGCTAGGCCTGTTTGAGGTCCAAACACTATAGCCATACTTGGCCTGCCATTAAAATGGCTAGGTTCACATGGCTTTTCCCAAAACTTTAGGAGATAACTAATGAATTTGATTATACTATAATTACCACAATCTCAAGAATCACCTTTATTTTTTAATATTGGTACAAAAATATTTTTTCTATAATCATTTACATCATCTTAGTATATAATTATTTTTAATCCTTCTTAACTAAACTACTCTAATAACACTTAACTCTTTAAATCCTATCAAGTATCCCATTCAAACCCAAAGCTTCACAATTGTGCACATTTTCATCATAGCTAACTTCGCTTCCCCTTTTGCAAGATTTCTAACTTCTTTAAAATCACTATAGATTTTAATACTATTTACCTATTTTCACTTCTTAAAAGCAGATTTTTTATTCTTAACATCCATTTTTTTTCTCTCTTTACTCCACCAACAAGTTTTCTTTTACATGACAAGGTTCTATGAAAACTTCTACAACAATCTGAATCAATTGAATTAGTAACTTCTCCAAGGTTAAATTTCGTTTAGGTATAAACTCAATTTTGCAACTTTTAACAAAGTATCTTGAAAGATTAACGCTTTTCATGCTCTATCCTTTTATCCTAAAGAAATTAACAACCTCTCACCCACCAATTTTGAATTCCAATCATCATATTATTATTTAACACCCAACACGAGCCTCACACATAGAACCTACAAGTACATTCAAATCACCTCCAATAAGATAACTCGTTTTTTCAAGCATGTATTGTGTCATAGGACATCATCTTTTCCCAAAATTAATTTTCAATCTTCTAAACCAACTTGAAGAGCATAAGCTATAATGGTATTTATAATGATATTGCTAATAGTTCACTTAATAGATATCACCCCATTTATAAACCTATTCAACCCAATAATCTATTTATTTTTTAAACTCTCTCTACACTATTATCCTATCCTTCCCTATTGTTAAGCCTCCCAACAAATAATAGTTAATAGCCTTCCCAATATCCTTAATTTCTTCCCTTTCCATTTAACTTCTTCCAAACAAATTTGAGTATCCAGCATAAGCATAATTTTAAAGATTGATGGGTTAAGCATTCAATGCAAAACGTTTTAAAATACAAATAAAATATATTGATGCAAAGGCAAGGATGAAGTGAAATGATCCAACATGAATTTAAACTTTGGAGGAGCTGGCACGAAACTTCCATAGAAGAATCTATTCTTCATAATTCCTAAAACATGTGACTAGTATCCTTCTCTACCAAACCTTCCATGTATTGGATGGTACGGCATAAGAGATCCATTGATGCAATATACAAATTCAGTAAAATCAATTCAGCATTAAACCACATAGCTCCAAGTAAGTCTACAAGAAATAGCAAGTATTTGTGATCAATTCAGTAGAAAACCACGTAGCTCCAAGTTAGAGAGTATTTGTGCAATAAAGGAGAAACTGGAAGTGATACCTAGTGCATTGGAGATCTTGCAAATTTTTTGGGAGCTAGAAGTATCTACGCTTCCTCGCATAGCTTCTTTACACTTTTTTTCTGCTTTTCTTAATTTTTGGGGTGGTAGCTTAGGAACACCGATCACAGTTGTTAAATCCTTATTAATTGAATTGCCTAATTGATCAAAAGACACTTGTTTCTGAGAGGATATGCTAGGGCCAGATTCTTTGTCCTGTTTATTTTCAGTCTGCTCTACTGAAGAATCGACTCTCATTTCAATTGTTTCTCTGCTGATTGGTATAAGACAAGATAGCCTCTCATCCTTTACATGCGGAGAAGGATGAAAGTTAAAAGTGTATTCTTCAACAGAAACTTTTTTGCTACAAAGATGAGGCATAAAAATATTCTCAGCTGAAGTTATAGGCCTAAAGTTATATCTTTCTTCTTGCCTTTTTTTTGAACCAACACAATTACTGCTAGGGCCAATTCTTCTCGGAGAACCATGTGAGAAACCCCAATCAAAACTCTGGCAAACAGAAGCACAAGAGTCCTCCTCCCTCTTGGAGCATTTTGCCCTTTTGAAAATCCATGGCTGCAAACTCAACACTGAACCATTGTCCCTCACAAATTCTTCCTCCAAAACTTCACTGTAAATCCCACTAGTAGAAGCCATCTCCTCTCGCCCTGAAGATATATCCGAAGAACTTCTCATATACTTTGTGTAAATCTTTTCAGCATCAGAAGAAGAACCGTGTTCAGCATGTCTCACAAAGAACCTGTGGAAAAGGCAATCTTCAGGCTGCTGTTTCTTCTGATCAACCCTCTTATCCATCAAATTCATTAAGAATTGCTTATTTGTTAGAGAATACTTAACGTGTATACAATCTCCTACACCTTCTCCAGCTTCCCTCTGAACAAGGAGAGCGCCAACGTAAGTTCCCAACAATGAGCACCCAAAACTCATGAATGAACACAAATACAGTCCATTAAATAAATAAAAAAGCCGTTCTTCTTGCTCGAATCACATCACTGAAATGATGAAAGATTTCAGAAAACCTAAAAACTCGCATCCCCATCTTCAGAAAACAGAACAGCTGGAACCACTCGATCATTCACAGAAAAATAACGCTATAATGTTCCGATTCAGCGAGCTTCAACGCATGATAGGATAAAATTCGACGAAAACCAAGAAAAGGCGCAACCTTTGCAGAACAAATCCGCATTCAACGGGACAGAGAGATCTAAAACAGAATGAGAAGCGGAAAATGAGAGCGTAAGACCGCACCGGCTTCCTCGAGGAGCCCGGCGATGTGCTTAATCCACAGTCGCAACAAGATCGGAGCATTCAACCAATACTCTCCCTTTATCTCCGTCGAAGAAGAAACGGAACCCATAAAAGCCCCGGCCTTGAAATCACAGATTCCTGATCCGAACGCAAATTTGAAAATATAAAAAACATATATATTTATTAAATTCTATAATAAATTTTAGGGGTTTTTACATGTATAACACTTAAAACTATCATATTTATCTATTAAACACCTAAAGTTACATATTTACTAATATACCACCTCAAAACCTTAACTTAATCAAAAAAACCACTCCGTTCATTCCCGTTTGCTCCCGTCATAGCAGACGTCGCAACTCCGCCCTCTCCGCCCTCTCCGACCTCGTTCCTCTCCGACCTCGTTCGCCTAAACCCTAAATGTTTTTATAGCACTGAATATCAGCGAGTTCCAATGCAGACAAGCATCATTGTGCCATGGCTTCGTGCAAGCCCTATGGGCCACTGTGAAGCAGCAGCGGCAAACAAAAGTTGGCAGCATTAGGGCCGAAGGATTTCTGCTGTTCTTCCGCCAGTGCATTACTCTTCTTCATCGCGTGAGATCGAAGGTAATCATCTCTATCACTTAGGTTAAGCTTTTGGGGTAATTGGTGTTCATTTCTGAGGCAATTCGATTTGCCAAGTCTGGGTTTTGAGTGATCATTGGAAGTAAAAATGGGGTTTTGGTTGGAACTGCATTGCATTGCGGCTTTACTGCTTTTGTTTTGGTGGAATGCTAGCTTTTTCTCTGTTGATTTCGTCAGCTTGATTTGTTTTATTCTTGATATTTGGCATTTTCTTAGCCTTTTCTGCTTTTTGGTTTTGGGTTTATAAGATTTGCACGAGTTCACTTTCCTCTCCGTTGCTTCCCTGTACAAAAGTTGAAGATTAGGGGTGTTTGAAGGCTGAGCTCAACCTCCATTGAGGTAATTTTGCCATGCTTGGGTTCGGAGGTAGGCCTGTTGCTTGATTTGGGAGGATCTCTTGTGTATTGCGCTTGATTTTTTAATTGCAAGGGCGTTATATGTGCCCTCCTGAAGCAGAATTGTTCCTCCTGTCGTTGTCGTTACTTCCGATCATACAAAAATTGGCTAGGAGGTGTGGTTTCAAATCCGACAGGAAGGAACATCAATGAAGGACGAAGTTATTAAGCGAATCATTCAAAACTACATCTCACGCAAAGCATGCGAAGTCGAATGGCAACGAACAGCCAAAGAAGAAGAAGAAAAAAACATGCGGCTTATGAAGGCAGTGATGAACTTAACAAGGAATATATGCATAAATTAATTTAGTTTAATTAAGTTAATTAAAACTAATTAATAATATAATATAATTAATAAATAATCAAATACTTAAATTAATTGACAATTAATTTAAATTCTAATTATCTTTTTTTATAATAATTAGTTAGTAATAATAATTAAAATTAATAAATAATAATTAATTAATTAATAATTAAAATATAATCAAAATTAAATTTAATTAGCTATTTTATGATTAAATTATTTTCTGATTATATTAAAATTATAATTGATAAGTAATTTGTATTTACACTACTAATTAAATTAAAACATAAATAGAATTTAAAATATAAATAAACTAATAGTCTTAAATCCTATATTACATTATATTATATCAGTGTCTATATCATTATTACTTTATCATAGTATCTTGTGCTCTTTCTGCATGTTGTGGTTTCTATTATATGAGTTAATGCTTGATTTATTATATGGTATGTAGTTTTCTTGAATTTATAACAAGCTTATTGATGTAATTCAGTACTATTTCTTCATATTTAAATTTCTAAGTGCCATAAATCCTAAAATCTATTGTCAAATAGTTTATCAAAATTTAACTGGATTTAACATTTGTCATACCAAATAGTTTTCAAGATTTAACAGCCTCATAATTTACTAAATCCGGATTTATAGGATTTACTAATTCCCACTAAAGTCAAATCCAATCCAATACCAAATAGCCCCTAAGGCTTCATTTGGATGGTTTAGTAATGCTTCTTAAAACAACTTTCTAGTAAAAAAACTAAAAATTTTGTACTAGAAATTTTATAACTCAAAATTTTAAAAAAGATATTTTTAATTATAATAGTTAAAAAATTTATTCATGAGTCATTATAAGTCTAAATCACAAATCGTCTTCGTCATAAAATATCTCTTATTGTATTTTAGTTTCACAGTTTTTTCATAATTTTGTTTATAATTCGATTAATTTTTGTATTTATTTAATTTCATTAAATGATTTAATTCAGTTTTCAGTTTTTTTTTTTTTATTGATTTCTATTTTAGGCTAAGATAGCATATTGAGTTGTGTTAACTCATTCGTGTTTTTGCTTTTATTTTTAGGCTTGGGGAAGGGTAAGGAGAGAGCTGAGAAGTTTGGATGGTAGGCTCTGATTTATGTTGTCTGTATGATTTGGTTAGTTTTTATTTTTGCATATTTAACTTTTATTTTGTTATTCTCTCTATTGTCAAATGCTATTATAGATAGCCTTCAAATAATATATTTTTGGATGATAAATAGTAAATCATGTTGAGATTCACTAGTCGTTTGCTTTATATTGCATTCAATAGTGGCTCTGTGTAGTATAAAATAAAAAATTTTGTTTCAGCACTTCTCCAGATAAATCTTGGGGTTACTCTTGCCACAATCGGACACTGTATGACTTGTATGATATCGGGTTATATCAGGTCGGGTTGTGACAAAAAAGTCATATTAAGAAGCAATAATAAAATTGTCCCAAACAAAGCCTTAGTTTCATATGTAATCATTAATAGTGCTTGTAAGTACTTTAAATTTAAAATACTTTTCTTTTACAATATTATTGTTTAAGAGGGCTAAAACAATTAAATTGATTTATTAATTAATTTTTTTTTTAAGAATTGTATAAATTTTAAATATTTTATTCAAATTTGCAAAAAAATAAAAAAATCATAAATTTCAAAATACTCGCAATTAGTTTACATTTTTTTTATCAGTGAAGACATTCATAAGGCCAACTTATTGCATAATGAAGTCGTTGATTTTTTGCCCTTTTTGTAAAAGAATAATATATAACATAACAATTAAAAAAAGCGTTATTAAATTATTGTGACTTGGAATCCTAAATCATTTTTCAGTTAAATTGACATACATACCCAAAAAAATTACAAATTTTAATATTTAAAACCTAATCTTTATTTTAATTTATATACTAATTTAATATTTAAATCATATCAAAACACACACACACACATATATTTATATTTTGAATCACAAATTGTGATTATTGATGTGAATCTTTTTTTCCAATTCTAAATAACAAATAGATATTTTTGTATTTCACATAAAAAATGCTGAATTAATTGAGTAAAGAGGTTTTATAGTCATATGATATATTTTTAATTTGAAGAGTAATACTTTACATTTTCAATAATTGTTTGTTTATAATTATCAAAAAATACAAACATTTTTTTAGCTACAACTTCCAAGGAGGGTCCATAACACCCCATAAAGACATAAATTAGACAAGTATTTTGATAGAAAAGTCCCCAATCATACGAAAAATTATTAGGTGCGATGTTCGGGCGCATTCGGAGGTCAATCTGGACGCGCCACATCACTCAATGAATAGTGCATTGGATGATATGACGTGTCTGGATTGCCCTCCATATGCATTTTGACTCCGCACAGAATAATATCTCCAATCACAAGGCACACTAATGCACAATCCCAAACTCACAAAGGAGATGGGATATATATGATTTCACTTATTAAAAGATCACAAATAGCACATCAATTCAAAAGACCTTTATGTTTAAGCACATAGTGTTGAATAGAATCCTCACTTCATATCCTCAAAAGGAAAAATAATAGGTAGGGATGCCCTTACCTAAAACCCTTGAAAGGCTTGTAGGGCACTTAGCACTGAAAAGGATCTACACTGGAAAATGTAGATAATATATAGGACTTTTATGATCTCAAAATCATATAAAAAGGAGGAAATATTGGTCCAATGTCCCTAAAGTAGATTCATATTGATGTTCAAGGATGGTTGTGCTTATGCCTTTAAGCTTCGCAATTCAAAAGTTTGCACAACTTTTACAGCCACTTAAAACAAATTTTTTAATACAAAAATTTTTGTACTAAAACTATTTTAGAAAACGATAAAAAAATTGTCACAAATAAAGCCCAAGCTTCTTTTTTTTTTTTTCCTACTGAACTTGGCTTGTTTAAAGCATCACTTTTCGATCTGCAGGCCAAAATCACAGCCCTACACATTTGCTTCAGTTTATCTATAATGCTCATGAATTAAAGCAAGAAAGAACAAAAAACCTTTATCACAACATTCAAGCATCTAAAACTTCTGAAAATACCAAGAAAAAAGAAACTCTTTTGCATTTCCAAAAGTGGTAATCCATACTTGATTAGTTGAAAATTATAAACAACATAAAATATTCTTTTTCAGGATTTCATCATTATCATAAAGCTCAGTACTCAAATAAGATTGCTGGAAAAACCAGCAAAATCATTTGCAGTAAAAACACACAGAAAATAGAAAAAAAAATCCCAACATGTTGAAAAAAATGAGAGAAGTATCATGTTATTTCCAGTACTTACATGGCTTAAGAGCATTTATTCTCAACTCCCTTCCTCTTTAAAAAAAGGTAGAACAACTCCTTTGAAGGATCAGCCTTCCAGAGCTGACGCTCCTGATATGATCTCAATAAGCTCTGTAGTGATTGAAGCTTGGCGTGTCCTGTGAAGAAATATTTACACAGATGTGAGGTGCAATGTTAGAGTTAAGCTTTTTCTCTAATTAATTACAGATGCTTGTGTGGCCAGAGTGAGCAAAGTTGAGGAACAATTGCCATTAGTCACTTTGATCTTAAATAAAATCACAAGATGTTTGACACAGATTGAAAGTGAGTTGGCACAACAGTCGCAAGCTAAACCAGCAATGGAAGATCATGGGACGTGTAATTCAAGTATGATAATTGATCAAATGCCTTCCTCAATGTTTTCTTTCATTATTTGAAAAATCATAAAGACGGGTATCCTACATTTTACTAGAGATAATCTACGAGAATGATTTTCTGGGTTTGCACAATACCTTTTTTGCCATAATTTGTTCAATGAGCTATATTTTATAATTGCATTGGTAAGTATGGACGGTCCAAAATCGTGTTTGTAACCTTAAATGTAAATGTAATTGAACAATTGAATTCTTAGAACTCTTCAAAGCAAAATATTCTAAAACATTTTGGCCATTCTCTTGAGATAATCAAAACTATATTTAAAAATCAACATTTGCATAATGCAGACCACAACGTTGCCATGATAGTTGATGATGTAAATGCAAAACTACCCATCGCAAGTTCATTTGCTAAAAAGGGTATAGTAGAGTTGGATGTGCAAATGGTTATGGAAATACAAATGGTAATAACAATAAAGTTTTCAAGGATACTATATAAAATGATTTGAATAAAGGTATAATCAGCATTAGTGTGTCCTGTGCACAAACTGGATCAACTAAAGTTGTAGTTAGATGTACGGTCACAACCTTCATGGTCGCCAAAGAGTAGACTCAGGGAGGTATAACTAAACGGACTCTGCAACCTACAATGCTGACAATGCTCCCTTCTATATTTTCTAATATGAAATTACTCCATGGCTTTCTCAGTTCAAACTTAGGACTAAGATCGTTGTTGATGGGGAGAGTAATATTATGAATACACAACATCAACTAGTTTGAAAGCAAGAATATGCAACCATTAAGAAACTCATGCTGTATGAAGGACCTCTATTCCAAATTACTAGATGAACCATTGTATCTAGCTATCAAATGATATATCTATCTCTCTATTAGATAGTTAAGAGTAGTCAGGAAGATGGATATTATATTGATAGTTGGATTCGTGCTTGTAAAGAAATGTGATATTATAAATAAAAGGATGGGAACTATTGCAGAAAGATGAGAAGAATCATTATGTTAACTTTATATATTTATTTTGTTAACTTAATTTTGTTAGGCTAACTCACTATATATATTTATTTTGTTAACTTAATTTTGTTGCCATCATTGCAACCTTTTCCTCTTTAATATAAATTAATGCTGCAGCTCTCAATTCTTTAAAAATACAACATATAATGAATATTAAAAGAATCGATCAATATTAATAATTCATGCAGTAGGGGTAGTTTTCAAGATCGTCAACTTGACCTAAGAAAGAAAAGAGGAATGAGAGACCTGTTATATGTAAGAGTGAGGCGGTCAAGCATTTCACCAGCATTCTTGCTGGAGCTGTCCATGGCTGACATGCGTGCACCAAGCTCACTACAACCATTCTCTAAGACAGCATTAAACAGTACCTGGGAAAGAAAAATCACAGAATCAAAAGTAAAACACACAAAAAAAGTTCAATTTCAATGGACATTTCAAAATCAAAACTTGGAAAGTTCAAAACGTAAATATATTATCGGGTTTCAATAATCCAAGTAAACTTCATAAGAAAGTAGCCATCATACAAGGCCATCCCTTTAAATTAATATTAATTAAAAGCTAGATCAGTGATAGGACAGCGATGGGACGTACGCAAGAAAATTGGAACTCAGAAAGATTCTGAAGCACTTCAGATTTTGTTTCGCCTCCTTCTATCTCATACAAGTCCAAGTCACCAAGCCTTCCACCTGCTTCAGATTCCTTCTCAACAATCTAGTGCGAAGAAAAGCAAACAAAAACTTTTTGGTTGTAAGACCTTTCCTGGGAACATAATTCACATGCGCTAACAAACAATAAAATAATTACCTCAGGGGATAAAATTGTTGAAACTGTTGGTGGAAATGAGACAACAGAGTGAAACTTGTTGAAAACAATTCTTAAGGCATCAAATTCTACATTCTTTAAGATATCATCAGCAAGAACAGCAACCTGAACATAAACACTCAAAAAGACTTAAAATAAAAATAAATTGACAGTATGGCTGGTCATAAATTAGGCTGATAATTATGCTTGAAACAAAAAACTCGCTCAAATTGTAATCAACTCGAATAAGACCTTAAAAATTAGTTAGATTCAACTCAAAATATACTTGATATATGACATGCACATGCACACCAAAGAAAAAATAATAATCTAGATTAATAATTTAAAATATTTAATAAAATTGATAGACTTTAACTCAGATCAACTCAAAAACTCAAGTCGAAATCCCTCGCATCGACTCAGCATGAACTGGGCTTAATTCTGAATCAAAATCTTTGATTTTGAATTCAGAAACTCACACAAACTCGCTCCACATCATCTTTGGTTATAAATGCAAATAATAGCACTTATTCTACCCTACAATTAATTTTCAGCTTTCTGGAATTATTTTGTCCATGCATATGTTAAAAAAACAGCAAGTTTAACAGTTGTATGACATGCTAACCAGGGAATTCGGTCGGTTAATCCATAGTCTTGAAACTCTTTTGTTTTAGGCACAGTACCTGCAGAACCAAAGTACTCATCTATGCTTCTTTTCATTGCCCCAACCCTTCAGAATGACAAAACAACACAGTCCAAAAATTGGTCTTCAAAAGCCCTCCATAAGAATAATAGCCATTAAAAAATCATGAAGGCTACAAAGTTTTAGTTGCCCACTTGACCGAAACAATAATTTTCCAATAAGTCAGAGCCTAAGTCAGCAAAGCTCTAGCAGCTGACATGATCAAATATAATCTCATATTCAGGTATGGTGTACCTAGTGCTTCTCTCAACAGGAGACAACAAGCATCTTTAGTTCTCCATTACAGGGGCCAGCTTCCTATAATGAAGCCAACTTATTCAAATTCACCCTCCTAGTATTATTTAACCCCAAAGATAAAGCCGGGCAACTTTTGTTTTTTCCAGCATAGAGTGAGGAAGCAGCCAAACCCTAGGAAAGAAGAAATTTTCATAATTTAACTCCAACGGCCCGTTTCCACCAATTACCTTGATTTAGTATATCGCTGAACCATCAGATCAATTACATAGAACTGCCGTAAAACAACAAGCATCAATAGTTTGAGCACTGTTCCTACTTCCTACAATCATGCGACCTTCCAAGATTTTTCTAAGGCTTAACTCCGTTGAAAAAAAAAATGTTAATGTTCTATGTTTGGATCCGATACAACCCTAGCCTTCTCTAACTCAGTTTGGTGCAACCCTAGGTCCCTAACATTCATACTTATATTGAATTCTTAGATATGATGAAAACCTGAATTTCTGCAAGAGTATGATGCAAACTAGACATTCAACTTGCCTTTAACTAGTTCGAATTGTCGAGGTTTGCGGATAAAAACAAACTATAAAAGCTTGTATAACACATGTAAAAGTTTTGCACTTCTTATGAGAGCAAATTATGGGGAGTTCTTTTGATAAAGTTTCCCAAAAAAAGCATGTTTTACAAATTTTAAAACCGAACATGTCTGATAGTCAATGCATCAGCTTACATTCAATGCTTGGTTTGTTATTCAATGTTTCGAATTTCAGCCAAAAATAAATGAATTCTAATAACATGAAGTAACCGAATAAAATAAAATATCTTACAAGTGTGTGGTTTAAAGGATTCTTTTGCAACTCATATATAGTCAGCTTCAACGTTCTAGAGTCTAGTATACTACTGTAAAAATTCTTCCCTTCGTCATGAGGTCAAACTATAGCAAGTTCTTTTTACATATTTTCAAAAAAAGAAAGAAAGCAACTTTTCCACGCATATTTTAAAATTCAACATCGTCATGATATAGTAAAAAGCACAGGCTTACATCGAATGCTTAATCATTTGAAGGTTGTTTCAGAATTCAGTCTTCGATAATAAATTCTTGCCACAAGCATTATAACATCTTACCTGTGTATAATTTAAAGGATTCTTTTGCAACTCTGATATGGTCAGTTCAATTCTATTCTTTGAGTCACGCACCAATTGGGCCTTCCCCTTCTCACCCAAAACAACATATTTAGTTTCTTTTTCTGGGCCTGATAGCATGAGCACAATTAAATTAAAACAGACCTAAATTTAAAAATTTAAAAATGGATAACGGCTATCTATACCTGAATACACTCTGGTAAGAGCTTTGCTCACTTTAACCGATGTGGAATTTATGCCCCCACAAAGACCTTTGTCAGAGGAAACAGTGATGACAACATTCTTCTTCACATCAACACCTACAATTGTAATCAAGTCATCCCCTTGAGAAAACAAGGATTTAATTTGAAATTGAAGAGAAAAGGCATATAAAACACAAACACAAAGTTGCATATCAAAAATGTGAAGGGAGTAACAGCAATATAGCAGTGATTGATCGCGGGATACAAAAATATAGGCACGGACAAGTCCACTTGAGTAGTACACGTGAACATATCCACAAAGTGTATGATCCAATGACTAGCTGAACCGAACGACGAGACATAAATTTTGAAGCAAATCTCTACTTTCAAATTTAAAAATAGAAGATGTCAGTTTATAGCAATGCCGACAATTAGAAGATCTATGTGGTAGATGCTACAGATATACACTTCCATTGTTTACAAAAATAGTGAAAAGAACGTTGAAGCTGACTATATATGAGTTGCACTGAGAATGTTTGACTGACCAAATATTCCAAAAGTCAATTCATGTTACCATTTCACTAGTGCATTCTAGACAAATTTATACTACAAAATTCTAATTCAACATTATGAAGGGCATTCATGATATGGTCAACGCACACTAAGAATGTTTGCTAAAAAATCAGCATGGAACTATATTGCCGATATTTCCTAGTTTAAAAGTTGCACTCATAAGGTAATTTAAAAAGTTCTTACTCGAAGCAAAAAATGTTATAATTATTGCACTTTTTCGGTAATAATTTTGATTAAAATAATTGACTGACCAAGGGCTAAGAGCAACCTTACCACTAATTCTATTGATTTTGGCAAAAAAAACTATGCAAGTGATAAAAAAAATTTAGAAAATATATGGCTCCTGAATAAAAAATCAGAGAAATTCACTAATATTAATAAATTCTAGGAACAAAGGAGTTTAAAAATATACTAAAGCCATCTCCAAGAAGAGCAACAAATGGTTGCCACAAGCCCCGTGAATTTTCTGTCTTAGTTTGAACTCCACGCAGCTTAGAGGCTGCAACCATCTTCATTGCCTTGGTGATTTTTTGGATGTTCCTAACGCTTTTCATTCTGTTTCTAACTGCAGATAGTATAAACATGCAAAAAAATAAAATATAGCTTCCAAATACAAGCCCAATTTGAATACATAATAAATTAGTCCTGTAATTTTGAAGTATTTTTACCTATTTGAGTGGAAATTGAGCGTGCACCAAACAGGCATGATTCTCTGCTATTTCAAAAACGGTTAGTTGTCTTATATAGAAATAATAAGAAAAAAATAAGCCTGGACGAGCCTAACATATTTGGCTAAAAAAGTTATAAATATTCAAACATGTAAATAAGGTTAAAAAAATAAGGAGCATTAAGTAGAAAAACTTAATTAGGCAAGAGACAAAATCAATGTTGGAGAAGAAAATTAGGAAAAAAAGAACCACAAACTTTGAAACAACTGTGAATGGATGGAAGTTATGATCCACAAGAAAATAGAATGGGAAATTTACTTATTAAACAATATATTTTCAATTTGGATGTTGTGCACAATACTAAAAAGGTCATTAATCTGCAGGTTACAAATAGCACAACCATAATACCAACTTTAGCACATGAAGCCTACTGCTCGAATAGATGATATCAAAAATGGCTGAAGCCAATTACTAAAACTGAACATGAGATTAGCACCTATTAGGCAAATCAAATAAAAAATAGTTACTGTCTTAAATGAATTTTAAAAAAGTACACAATTGCAAGATACACTCATCTAATATTTTTTTTACTTAAACCAACACTTTATTGGCACAATACAGTAAATTTTCTCAGTAAGCTACGTCTTAAATATTTCTATCGAACTTTTAAAATTTCATAGCTTCGGAACAGGACTTCAATATGCATGCATGCCTTTCATAGGTGCTTGTGTCAGGAAGGTTACGAGTGCAGGGTCTGAGTTTGCCAGAGCAGGGAGGTAGATTTTTCTCTTTTGTCCTAGCCTCTGATAAAATGTGGAGCAATAGTTTGCAACCAAAGATTATAAGCACTATCTAACTGCATGCCAAAGAAGATCACTACAAGAAGCAGCAAAAAACAATATATTAAGGCAAAAACCAAATATTTCCTTTTCTTATCAGCATATCAAGACCATCAAAAGTTAACACGGCAAACACTCGCATCCGATTTAGTGCCATCAAAAATAAAGAAGAAAAGTGCAAGGTGTGACATTGAAGAAAATAGGTTACAGTACTCACTAGAGAGCATGCAATACTTTTAACGAATGGATAGTCATCAACATACATATATTCCCCAATTAATGACTTTGCTTTTGTTGGCATGGATTCTTGCAAGTTTTTATTTTGATTTATTGTATGAAAAAGAAGACTTAGCTTTTAAATTTTGATTTGTCATATGAAAAGAAGAAGAATATAACAAGTAGTAATCAACTGTTCATTATATAATTCGTTCATCCACCTTCTAGGAGAATGACCAGACCAAAAAAACAATGAATTGCCCCATACAAAATAACATTAAAAAATACTAAATGGGAAAAATGCAGCGTCTCCTTTTGGACAAAGATGAAATAAAATAGTTGAATCAAATTAGACTTCATTCCAATCGATGTTGTTAATTAGATTATATTTCATTCCAATCAATATTGTTTAAGGTTAAGCATTGTCTAAGCATGACGACCAGGCAAGACCACGGTGCATCGCACGCTAGGGTTCTAGTTGAGCATCGCACACTAGGGTTCTAGTTGAGCCAAGCCAAGTGCAACATTGATTGTAATTGACTTAGTCATAATAAAAGTTATTCATGTTCTATTCAAGCTTGAGCCGAGCTTCCACATGTACGCTCGTGCTTAGCATGTTTGATTTTTCTATAATTGTAATTGGCATGTACTTGGCTTGAGTATATTAATCAAACAAGTATTTAAACAAAATAACAAACAAGCGACAATTTCAAATAAAATACTTTACTTCTCCTATTAACAAATAATTTTACAAATATAAAACAACAAGAAATTCAATAATTTTGGAATTAGAATCTAATTATTCAACATCAATTCAAAAAGATAATAAATAAGCCACAAGCAAGCTTGCTTGCAATCATATAACATAAATAAGTTGCACTTATGCCAATGATTTCTTACACTTATCAAGGTTTAACTAAGATCTAGTCAAATATTTAGACTAAATCATGCCAAAAAAATTTTGGGGTGAGTAAATCTTTACACTTGTGCCATGAAATCATAAGAGTACTCAAATTTATGGGATTTAGGAAGTTTCATTTATTGCGTCAATAATGTGTGTGTGTATATAATTTTTTGTTAATAAATAAATAACCATGTTTTAGTTTAAACTCTAAAAATAAAAGATTCCTAAACAAAGGAGATCATTGCTAGGTCAATAAGAATTAAGAATTACCATGAAATGTGAAGCAAGTGGATCATTGAATTAAGATTATGATTGAATCCCAAAACCAAGTCCTAAAAGAAATAAATTACAATAACACTATGATCTAGCTTATCTTACACACGCTAAGCTCTATGGCAATGAGATCCCGTGTGTCTTCCTTGTCCCTTGGATATGGTTCTTCACAAAGCTTTCGCAATTGAGGATTATGTTCACCTTCCTTATTTATCCATTGCCTACCCTATCATTCAATAATGAAAGTACAGTAACACTGTGGCAATAAGAACATGTGTCTTCCTTCTTTCTTGTCTCTGGGTCTTCTGGTAGAGAAATTATTTTGTGCGGACACCGAACGGAGAGAACCGTCGGGATTTGATGCACTTTTGCAAAAAGGCAGTAAAATGACAGCAAATATTTATTATTTACTAAATAATTGAATATTTGATGCCCTTTTGCAAAAGCACAACAAAATGGCAATAAAATTGCAGCAAATCCGGACGGTTCTCTCCGTACGGTATCCGCACAGAATAATTTCTCCATCTGGTAGCTAGTGGGATTAAGGATTTTCAACCATTTCCAGGGAATAATAACTCGCATGAGTAATTAGTTAGCATAATAACAAAAAAAACCAACCTAATCGGTTAGACAATAATTTTTTTAATCATCAACAAATTTTCCCTAGGTTTGTGGAATTTATAATAAATATTATGCTGTATTAAAAAATGTTATTAATCCGACTATTAAATAAAACTTAATTAATTGAGCTTTAAAATTATCCTCGGATAATTGTTTAGCTTTTCTCAACATATCTTTTTTTACCAATCTGACAAATAAACTACTCTCTCTTAACTTATTCTAGCTTTAGAAGGCTGGAAGCTGAATTAATCCTCAACCAAATAGGCCCAGGTGTTCTAAATTGCTCGGGCCAAGAACGTGTCATACTCTTTCAGATATAATCACAGGTCATTGGTCAGTAGAGAGATACTTAATACGTGCCTAAAAAATGCACTCGAAAGGAATGTCGTCAAAAAGGATGCTATGAAGAATATCAGGATCGGTTAGCACTCCTAAGCCTCAATGCCAATGCAATCAGAAAAGCTAATTGAGCATCAGCATTTGTCAGCTTTCAAAAACATAACCTGATGCTGCTCTGCAACTCCTGCGCCTCTCGATCACCAGAAAATGATCGAATCGAACCAAACAACCTAACAAATATAACTACAGACCAAAAGAGCTGAAATGTTAGGGATAATTTATCTTACTCGTTTGAGATCGCAGATCGAGCGGTAATTGGAGTGGAGGAGGCCGATGAGAGCAGAAACCGCCTCCCCTCCCTGCGCAGGGCCGCCATCGCCATCGTGATACAAGTAAACTTTCTACTTCAAACCCTAGGTGCTCGATTCTGGAGCTCCGAACGGGAAAACTTGCAATACGATTGGCGAATAAACTTGGATGGTTTTTGCGGAAATGCCCAAGGAATTATTAATTTATAACTCTAACCTTGTAAGTTGACATTGGCGGGCTATTTGCATAAATGCCCCGGATTAACAAAACTTTGTAATATCTATGCATTTTATATCGGAATATAATTTATTCAGCATTAAAAATCTAATTTATCAAGTATCAATATTAAAGTAATATTAAAATGTATAAATTTTAAAGTTATTTATAGGGCCATAGGAATTCTTATTTCAATAAATTTACAGTCAAAATAATTATCTCAATGAGTTGATGACATCTAGAGTGATTCGATTTAAATCTAAACAAACAAAGATCGGACGCTTAAAATAAAATTGAAATTTTAATTGGAGATCACATGAATTTTAAAATATTACATGTTTATAATAAAATCAATGTGCCTAAAATCATTTAATTATGATGACATTAAAAAGCTAAAATACTAACAGAATAATATATAATCAAATTAATTAATACGGATCGTCTAATCGAATGATCTAGATATATTCTTGCCTGGATGTTATTTAAATCAAGCGATAGTAGGCTCATCAGATTCATCTCATCGTAATGCTCATTTAGACTACACACATGCAAAATTTTGGTTAATCGTTAGAAGGCTCATCATATTTATTGCATGATTTTCTAAATAAAGTCATATATAACAGTTATATTGTTGTAAAATGTCAAATGCTAACCACTTTTATATCATCATAAATTGTCCGTATCGATTGTGGTTCTAAAATATAAACAAGCTTAAAAAAAATTATAGCAATATTCGAACCTAATAATCTTATATCTAATGTCCTCATAGGTGAATATTGTCTCGTAAGTATATTTTGTGAACGAGAATAGTCAGAGAAAAAGAATACATTGAGAATATACTGGTTCGGTCAATTTCTTATATAGGTTTCGTTTGGACAGTTTTCTTACTGCTTTTAAAAACATCTTTTAAAAATCTGGATTAAAAAAATAAAAAAAAAAAATTGTGAAATGAAATTATAATATAATACACTGCTTATATCTATACTACTATTATAAAAAATGCTTGAGTTTCCTTCCCTAGCAAATCTTGGTCATTCATTTTATTTCTTCTTAAATTATCTTAGCCATTCATTATATTATAACTAATTAATAAATAAATAAAAAATAATACTTATATAATTTAATGCTCTTTATATAGACCTCATTCTAAATTAATTTTAAAGCTAAATTTCATGTCCCGATTGACGTCGTTTCTGTTGTTTGGTGCCGCGTGAAGACGAAAAGGTTGAGGACTCTCATAAGAAAGACGAATGGTGTTCATTTTCTCTTGATGAGAGGGGAAGACGAAGATGAAGAGTTAGGAGGAGGATTCCTTCTATTGAAATCATATGGGAGATGAAGGCGAAGAAGCTCAATTTGTGTCGATTCTGCTGTGGCATGCATTGAGAGGGAGTCGAAGGAATTCTATTGCTTAGTGTTATTACGGCTTTCTCGGTTGGTGATGGAGGAGACGAAGGGATTTTATCCTATAAATTTCAAAGAGACTGGAGGAGAGCACACAACAGAAGCTTGCATGGATGTCATTCTTAGCTCCCATGGTTTGGGTGAAGATTGCTTTGCTAAAGTTGAAGAAAAAGATAACATAGCAAAAAAAGGATCAGAGCCTCAACTTTTGGAGATTCTTATTTGGCCAAGGCAGTAAAATGCAAAGCTATTGGAAAATGCCTGGAAGTCCAGTTGCCATTTTTAGGAGAGATTGAAGAAGTTGATTCATAAAGCAGGTTTAGAGACTTTGTACAGTGTCCCTATTATACCCTGTCCACGGACATTCGCTGTTGTTTTGAAAGCAACCGAGAGGACAAATAGTGTGGGAAAAGTCATACTAGGCTGGAAACTGGTCTATTCTGATGAAACAAGACCATGCCAATCACTCATCAATGCTTCTCACAATGCAAATGTTTTCTTACACGAGGTGAGTGATCCTATCAGGATTTGCTATGTTCAAGCAACATTCATACATAAAGCTTTAGGAGAATGAATTTTTTTCAATTCGAATGAGCGAAGGAAAAATCTTAGTTATATTTCTGAAATAAGAATTTTTGAAACCAATCGTTCATAAAAAACATAGAAGCAAACTTTCAAGCTTTGAGCATTTGTATAAATATAAATGGAATCAGTATATCCTAAAACATTTTTTTTATTCATAAATGATTTTGCGAAGGAATACTAAGATGAGTAAATTCCTCAAATTTTGCAGGCAACTTTTGTGAATGGCCTAGGGGAAGAAGCGGTGGCAAGAAACCATAGCACAACAATAGAAGCTATATATAAGTAGGATACAAAGCAGAGGTTTATCACATAATCCTAACTCATTTCAGCCAAAGATATTCCAAAATCCCAGTCTTTTATGCGGGTCACATGCACAATACATGCATTGCTTTTGACCTGATGAGTACCAACATAGCAGATCTTCATCTGCTTCCAAAGGTTCTCCCTTACTTAAAAAGTTATCTTCATAAATGAAATGGTTGTTAATGAATCTGATGATGCGATTTGACAGTGGACCAATATTGAGCAGGATCACATTCCAGGCAAGTTTATTTTCATTTGCCCATTCTTTAGAAGATTTGAGTTTTGTAGCTGTAAGATAGGATTTGTTCCCTTTAGGATTATTAGGAGTGTTTTGTAATTTTATTGTTGTTTGGTTATATACTAACTTAAGTGTGAACTATAGAGAGCAAGTTAACATATTTACTTATGAATTATTAATGTTCATTTACTTACCATTAAAACATGATTCAATTAAATTATATGGTTCAGACATATATTTTTTTTGTTTTATTTATTTATTTATTTTTCCTCATAATGTCATTATTTAACAAATAACGTTCTTCTTTTTAGGATGTGAAAGTGCTGCCCTTAAATTCTCTATAATTGAATTTTGTTTATTTTTGTTAGAAGATGTTATATATTCACCATCTTTAAAAAGTTTCACTCTTAAATTCAAATTATGAGATTGTGATCTTAAGGAGCATCTTGTTGATGAAAATCATGAGTGTAAATATTTAGATGATAATTTTAATACAAATTTCTCAGATATAGAGTTGAATGATGATATTTTGGTATACAATGATTAGTAAATTTTATTCATAATTTGTCTCATAAATAATTTTCTCCCAATTTTGACCTTTTTGTTTGTGACTATGTTTATGAGAAAGAATTCAATGTAATAGATAGTTTATTTTATTATCATAAACTTGAGTTGTATGCTGATATGATTAGAATATTGACAAGAGCCACATATGTAGTAGGACTAAGAATATGATATATATATATATATATACAAGTTCTCAAAATATGTTGAAGCCTTTGAGACTTTGTTTGAGATAGTTTTCTTCATACTTTCTAAAACATTTTTTGATTTACTTACTAATGCATTTAATATAGAACTTCATGTAGCAGTATAACTTTGTCCATGTTTTGACTATAGTGACAATATCTCATACCTTAATTGGTTATGTGCTTGATTATTTTGCTTCCATACATCATCTTTGCTTAGTTGGTGATGCATATGAGGATTCTCATTTATTCTTTTTTTGCTTTATTTGCTTGTGAATCTATAATAGCAATGAATGTTAATGTTAGTTAGAAGATAGCAGATTATTTGAAAGTGTTATTGAGATCTATGAGTCATGAACTAAAAAAAGAAGGATAGCGGAACATTATGAACCTTGGAAGTAGGACTTGTGTGAATATGCTGTTAAAATTTATGAGAACTAGGGAAAAGTAAGAAATTCATTTCTAGTATGAAGCTTACATATATGGAAGTATGATGGATCTATTTTGCATATTGATTTAGACAAACATATGGTCTTTATTTTTTTCTCACCAGTCTACTTAGGAGTGTCAAAACCAGGTTTCGGGTCGGACCCGAATTGACCCGGAACGGGTCAACCCTATCCCGATTCGGATATGTAAACGGGTCTAAAAGTCTGACCCGGACCCGACCCATCGGGTTGCCGGGTTGACCCGACCCAACCCGAATTTGGGTTCTGCCGGCGCCGGAACGTCGGAACGCCGGTGGGCGGACGGAGGGCGAGGGGGAGGACACGACACGCGAGGGCTTGCGCGGGC